GAGGATGTGGAAAGTCAAGGCCAAAGTGGTCCCAGTGGTGGTAGGAGCACTTGGGGCCGTGACTCCTAAGCTGGGAGAATGGCTCCAACAGATCCCAGGAACAACATCAGAGTTCTCTGTGCAGAAGAGTGCAGTGCTAGGAACAGCTAAGATACTGTGCAGAACCCTCGAACTCCCAGGCCCCTGGTAGAGGAGCCGAGACTGAGGAAGACATGTACCACCCATAGGGATAAGAGGGGAATTTTTATATATTCATTCAAGATGGTATCCCCCAATGGAGGAGGAGGATGATTAGTTTTATATCATTGTGGAGACTATATTTATACATCCAGTATAATGTTGTTTATACATCTGTTTCATATTCAGTAGAAATCTGTCATTTTTTCTACAAATCCTGATAATCTTTAAAGAGTTTATTGCTCACTTAACAAAATCACACCATTTTTATAAAGATATATTTCTCCATTTTGTTTCTCCAGCATTTAAAAAAACTTTTCAAGTAGTTCTTCTCCAGCTACATTTGAACTGAAAGATTACCCAGCGATGTCCAATGCTGAGCAATAATTTGTTTAGCTAACATCAGAAAGAATATAACCCCTTTCATAGTTTGCTGTTTTTCATTCTGATCACTGAATATATGCAGCAAATTTAACCTTGGAGTGTATTCAGTCTTTTGTGTAGTCACAAGGCTTATTTAATCAAAAACATCCTCCCCAAATTTTGAAACGTTAATCACATGTACGCCAGAAGTGAAAAAAATGTCTCTTGTAGATCTCTCACAAATCCTGGATATTTATGTGACATATATAATATTATTTGGGTTAAACGGCAATAATAAAAAAACTTAAGAAACAACTCTTGTACTCAAGTTGAAAGAATTCTTTTTAGCTATCATAAAGACAGCCCATATAATATTATCTAGATGCCTATCCAGATTTCCCACACTTTTTTTCAAGTAAAATTATCTGTTTGTATTTCTAACCTTTATAGATCTCAGAAACCATGGCATTAAGTTCTAAAGCAGAGATACCCACCGTGTGTGTGTGTGTGTATAAAATAATTAAGGATGGCAGCCACAACCACATGACTGAAGATCTGCACAAGTGACATGCATAGAAAATGAGCCAGGTCAGCACCACCAACTTCACTTTTTGGACTCCTCTCCCCCCTCCCTCCCTCCATTGACACCCCTGTTCTTAAGAAAGAGTAATAATTAAGTTCTCAAAGTATGAAAGGCAAGAGTTTAGCTAAATTTATTACTATCTGCTTTGTACCAATGTGTTCGGCTGATGCTGTAATTGGAGTATTATTTAGCCTAAGTGTTGTACTCTCACTCTCTCTGTCATAATATGAAGGGTGGAATTTTTAGAGAAATCTCTTTTTCTTCTAATCCTTTTTCTTTCCATGCTAAAATTCTACTGTCCTGTCTTGATTATAAAACCAAAAATGTACTATTGGGGAGATTAAGGGGGACATACCCACCCTAACCTCAAAATCCTTCTGCTTCATATTAATTTAGTACATTCTACAAGACTCCTTTAAAAAAGAAAAGAAAGCAAATATGTTAAAATAATGGACACTGTCAGTGTTTTGCTAAGTCTTCCAAACTAAAAGGAAAGGTGTGAGCTAATGTGCTCCTTGAAAATGTAATTTCAAATATAATACATTGGCTTAATTAATTAATTCCATTTCTGTCTGCTTGAGAAATTTTTATGTGATATGTTTACAGGAAGGGTCTGAAATATGTACATCAGTGTTGGAAGGGTATCAATTTGAGTGCCACCATTCAGCCTAGAACACTAACAGAATTTTAATCCACATCTGGTCATCACATTTCAAAAAAGTTATTGTAGAGGTGCAAAAAATAAAAGTAACCAAAATAATCAGGGAACTAGAGCATCTCTCCTACAAGAAAAGATGATAGCCCTGGGGTACATGAGATGAGACACAATGGATGTATATAAAATCATGTATGGTCTGGAATACATGGACAGCAAGAAGTTCTCCTCTCACACAGGGTTAAAATCTGGAATCACCTATTAAATCGAAATATAAGGAAATCTGGGACTGATAAAAGGAGGTCCTATGCCTTCTTAATAAAGTAAGTAGGGAGTTGGAAAAGACTTGTGATCCCAAAAAGGTCTGCTTCAGCCATTTTCTCTGTAAGATTGCTTTAGCCAATATATCACTGAAATAGTGATATATTTCCTCCCTGGCAAGTAAAATGATTTTTTCCAGTTAAATTGGGCATTCAATCCACACAGGTATCACAACCTTACAGTTTATCACAACCTCACAATCACTCATGCCCTAGTCACCTCCATATTGGACTACAGCAGTGGGGCTGCCCTTGAAGAGTATCTGGAAGCTTCAGCTGGTACAGAATGCGGCAGCACGGGCAGTTATGTACACTCCGAGAAGAGCACATGTAACACCTCTGCTCCATGAGCTGCATTGGCTGCCAGTCTGCTTCCGGGTCCAATTCACGGTGCTGGTTTTAACCTTTAAAGCCTTTCATGGCATGGGAGTGGGCTATCTTGAGGGACTGCCTCTCCCCAGTTATTTCAGCCCACACCATCCGATCTCACAGAGAAGGCATGTTGCGGGTACCATCGGCCAGGGACCTGCATTTGTTGGGTCCCAGGAGACATGCCTTCTCTGCTGGGGCGCCCGCCTTATGGAATATCCTTCCTCCCAAGATTAGATTTAGCGCCATCCCTTTTGCTACTCCAGAAGGTCCTCAAGACCTGGTTATGTCACCAGGAATGGGGGTCCCAGGGAACCGGAGACCTGCTTAGTTGGCTCCATTGTTGAGGGGGCCATTTTTATTCTCCCTCCCCTATGGTTTATATCTGGGTTTTTATGATATTTATTAATGTGGTTTTTATATTTTTTAATATTGTTTTTATATTTGTTTTTATCTTTTTGTACACCACCCAGAGTCACTTCTGGTGAGATGGGTGGCTATATAAATTTGCTTAATAAATAAATTAATTAACAAACCTTAGCCAATAGCATAAAAACATACAGAGAAACCTCAATGTCACAGCTTTCGGATGCAAAGGACTCAAATGAACTTCACCCTCCAAATAACACACAAGCCAGTTGTTTCTGACATTTGTTTGGACAGTTCTTGGGTCTGCATCCTGCTACATCATTTGTGTGCATTTTTATCATAACCGTGTAGGTATACAAATGACATAATGTATATTCAGGTTTCATGGATATTGGGGTACCACAGACATCCCCTCCCCACGAATGGCCATTTAAGGCAAGCTTTTGCACTGTATGGGCCTTTCCACATCTGTGTGGCAGAGTCTAGGCTTCATATGTCCTGGTTTGGGCCAATGGCTTAATGTGGTGCATATCTATGAGACTCAGGATAGTGCAGTCATGAAGGCGGTGGGCTACTCTTAGCCATGGAAGCTCCCTGGATGACTTTGGGCCAGTCACCCTCTCTCAGCGCAGTCTGCTTCACAAGGAGGTGGTTTTGGAGAAGAATAGATCTTGTCCTGAACTGAGATATAAGGGTGTACCGACAGAGGTATTTGGGGGGGGGGCAGAGAATCAAGGGGAAGCAAGTGACAAAAGCAGTGTTGTGCCAACACAACGCAAGTTCCACTGCTTTCCTACGTGTGTTGACCCAATGCACACACACGGACAAAAGGGGAAAAGCTTAAATCCCTATGCTGTGACTCTGCTTTCTTCCTTTTGACAAGAGCACTATAGACCTTGCTGCATATGAAATAAAAATACTATCGCTGATACTCCTACTGTAGATTTCCAGTTGGATTGAAAACTAACTTGGAGAACTACTTTCTAATAACTGCAATGCAAAGCGTAACAAGGAGCCTGATCCAGAAATACTTCTTCATTCTGAGAATCGGATGCAGTTCTGTCTCTTGTATCACTTGATGCAAATGGAAACCAAACAAAAGGGGAAGAGGAAGAGCCTTTTCTTATACTTGGCAAGTTCTTGACAATCAGAAAAAAAAAAAAATTGGAACATATATAGGAAACTTTGACCCCCTGGTAAGGTTTATTTTAAACTTACAAATATTCCACCAACATTCCCAGGTTGGCTAATCCTTTTACATGAATCATTTCTTTTTCCTTTAGAAATACTTCCAGGAAATAATACATAAAAGATATGCAAGAGAAATCAAGTGTGAATACATTACAGAGAAATCTCATTTGTTGCACAGCGGAAGAGAGAACAACAATACCACTCATTTAAATAGAGTTGAAATCAGATGCATGGAAGTTTTTGAGATAAGACCGTGATGTGATGGGGCAGACAGAAAGAGAAGGTTAACTTCAGAAAGAAACTGAAGACCTGGTTTTGTTATTGTGCATGGAGTGGAGATGGGAATGGTCAGTTTTGGGAATGGCTGGTTCCCTAGTCCTACCTGACCAATATTATCTGGTCACAGGCTGAAATAATACCACCATCGCTTGGATTTGATCATAATAATTGTATTTATGCTGTACTATTTACATTTTTATTGGTTTTAACTGTTTGGTTGTGAGCCACCCAGAGCCCCTCCTTGTGGGGGAGTTGGACGGTGATATAAATTTGATTTATAAATAAATAAAAAATAAATAACTGAAGACTCCTTAATGATGGAGGGCTTTGATGGAGGATAGCACAATGTTGTTTGCCCTTGTGTATGCGCTTTATCTATTTGCATACACACACAGAGATAACGAAGTGCATGAAGGATCCTGAAAGACGAATACATTTATTACTGCATAATCACTATGC